TTTGGAAGCAAATGTATCCTGCTTAATGCCCAACTCTCCACGTGCTTTTTGTATCAGTTTAAGTTTTCAGCATTTACATCGCTGTGCTGCTGCAACTGGAACTAGATGGATTTGTTAATTTGTTAAATTTATGCCTGCCCAATACTGCAGATTGGTCCCTCTCTGGAGCTGTGTAGAGAGATGTGCTGTCTTCCCCTGCTGGAGGTAAAGATGGCCACGAAGGGCAGCAGCTCTATAAAGGACAGCAGCTCTATAAAGGACAGCTCTGACTGCCTGGGGATCCAGATCCATTCTTGGTGATAGCTATTAGCACTTTTTAGCTAGTGTAAATGTCGAAAAGCACACACATAATGAGAGAGCAAGTGTTTGAATAAGCGCTCCAGAGAAAGCAGCAGAGAGAGCATCTGGATGGAGCACTGCACCCGTCTAAGGACTGCATCCTCAGAGGGCAGTGACTACAGCAATGTTCCTGTCTCAGCTTTTTTTTTGCCTTTTTTATGATTATTTTGTAAGATTTGCACTTGAAAAAGATTTAGCTGCTGCTGAAGATAACTTTCAGTGAGTTATGCTCCTATTTACTGGCAAGTTTACTCTTCCCTTCTCTCCCTCACCCCAAACCATTGATTTCTCATGCAGAGGCAGCAGGAAAAATCTCAAGAGCTTCTGACCACTGCTGGGTTTTGTCACCAGACTTGGACTTCTTACCCCTGCCTATAATATATGTAAAAAATGTCACTGAAAAGACTCTGCTTTTCCACTGCTGATATATTTTTGATTAGGAAAATCTGGGACCCAGCACTGTGCAGAAGACACACAGCAAACCCAGACTGCGCTGCAAAATGGATCAATTACTTCAAGGTATAGCGAGTTAGGCAGACATTGCACACAGGATTGAAACAACCTTATTCCACACACTGGCCATCTTGCTAATTCTAATTTTATCTGAAAGTCCGTCTGATCTGATTTCCATATCCTGTTTCCTTCTGTTTAGTAAGCACAGCCACTTTGGCCAGTTGGGTTTGTTGTGCATGTTTACGTTCTTAAATTCATGGAAATGAGTGTGATTTTTCTTTGTTTGGAGTAATAAAAACAGAGAGAGCTTTTATATCAACACCACTGAAATTGAATTTGTGGAAATATTCTGTCTACATGAAGTTTTATTTGATTCTTTAATTCATTTCATTTCCTGAATTTAGATTCAATTATGTTCTTCCTTTTAAATGCATTCTGTTGTCCATGTTACACTAGCTCTTCTTGTGACGGATGCAAACATTACTGAAATCTCAGCTCTGGTGTGTAGACATCACTGAACATTTGCAACACAACCTGAATTTGTATTTGCTTTCTAGCTCTGGCAAGAACAAATTGTCATCAGTGATGTACCGATGCGGGTGATTACTCTACTCTGCTGAGAATCTCAGGGGTAAAAAAGGATGAGGATGACACAAGTTTGAGCTAAGGGAGGCATTGCTCCTGTTCTGGATTTGTAGTTGGCCTCTTTTAATACAACTTGTATTATACAGTGTTTTTCTGAGCAAGGTTTGAATGCAGGTTTGTATCGAAAGAGGGACTGTTTTTTTTTTTTCCTAGAAAAATTAAATGGGTGGAAATGACCATATTTCAATAGAATTTAAACTATTGCTTCTTAGAGCAAGAGGATGTTCCTTTCTCCCCTCTGCTGTCTCAACTCCACGGCTGGATGGTATGCAATAAATCCTTGCATGACATCTACATGGACTGAAATATATGAAGAAGAAGATCACATTCTTAAACGTAATATCTGTGCTGAAGTTCCCATACAAAGATTTCTAATGTTATTTTTTTTTTTTAGTGGTATGAGTGACAGGAAGAGTTAGCAAAAAAAGAAAAAGCAAAAGGCTTGGGCATGTTAGTATGTCATGGTACTATGGCTGAGCCTTTGTAGTGTGGATAAGATCTTGTGTAATTTTTCCAGATTGGGGAAACACCAGGGGACTCCAGAACAGTGGATATGAACATATGTTGAAGCCTAAGCATGGGAAGTTGGGTATGTTTCTATCTTTTTTCCTGTTTCACAGCTCATTTTATGTTGATAGCTGTGTAAAACTGCTGGTATTTTTCTGTCTCAAGGTGCTTTGGCGTTTCTGAACTAAATGTCCTTCTTACAAATAAAGAAATGCCAGTGAGAGCAGCAGAGAATCGATCTATACAGAGCAGGGGATGCGAAAACGAGCACTAGGACAGGGAACAGAGGACGATTCAAGCCTAAGCTGTATCATCAGGTGGAACAGGAAAAACATTTGGAGGTGGGTGAAGAGAGAGAGGTACATTACTGTTTTCTCACTAAGGAACAATATTTCATAATAATTTGTCAGGCTCTACCTTTTCAAGCTGAAATTCATTACCACATCAAAGTGCATGCCTTCCTGTTAACAGAATGAATGTCTCTATTTAGAATGTAAATGAGAAAAATATTTGAATTACAGGAGATTTAAAGAATTGTGAGTGGCTGGGTGTATGAAGCCTTATTTTTAAGAACTGACTTCAACATAATTTGATAGTAAGTAATAAGCTTAGTTTATGATTCTCCAGTAATTTGAAATGTAACAAATAATTATTAAAAGTGTGTGCTGCTTTATGCATGAAGCATACACAGTGAAGGGGTGGTGGTTGGTTTGCAACCTGTCTGCCTCCCTACCCTTCTACTGTAGCCAGGCGGTGCTCTCAGTCTCTGGCAGCCAACTCTGTGCTGAAATATGACAGCCCGAGCAGGCAATCGTCTTTCAGAAGAGCCTGGGAGCCCTTCAGGAGCTAGGAGACAGATGTTACCTGTGGTGTGTCCCTCCCCTATCTTCTGCCTGGAGGAGAAAGCTGTTTGAAAAACCTGTGTTGGGCAATTCTTGGAAACAGACACCTGGATGGAGATGCATTCTAGCCAAAAAACCCCACAACCCCCAGAAAACAGTTGCACAGATGTGGTTGACACAGGAGGTCATGACCTCATTTCAAGTCACTGTTTAATCTTAGCTGAGCTAATTACATACATATGGCTGTCTAAACATGAAGTCAACAGGAAGGTATCCAGCTACATATGGTAGTACAAGTAAATCAGATTTAAACTGCAGCAGCCAGCAGCTGAGGCTATTAGGTGACCATCACATGTTCCCTGTAGAAATTTATCTTAAAAAAAAATACAATAAATTTACATTTATTCTGTCTCTATGGGCTGATACCAATATGGATAAAACTCATGTTTGTTAGTATCTTATAATACGGAAGTACTAATAGATATAGAATTTGAAAGTACTTATGTATGTATGTATTTCAAAACATGACAGAATGAATAGTCTCTGTTCAGAAAAAAGTGTAAGCTATTGCCCAGACCTTCTTCAGTGCTGGGTTGATGCTGACAAGTCACAGGTTACATGCAGATATCAGGTGTGGATCATTTGTTTTACTGGCAAGCAGCCTAGTAAGACTTTAACACCAGCTGTAGCTCTGTCCAGCTGCCAGTCCCAGCAGGGTAGGAGCTGTTGGTGTGGTAAAGACCTCAGAACCAGCCCAAAATGTCCCTGCTCCATTGCCTTTTGCTGTGCTGACCCTAACTACTTACTTTTTATTTCAGCAGGCTTCACTTTCTCTCCCCAACACTGTCAAGTTTCTGTGCGAGTGTTTAGCAGCTCATATCCATGGCAGTGCAGCGACAGTTTTGGTATTGCTGCTCCTGGGGAACTTACACTGTTGCCTGGGAATCCCGTGGGGTATTTGTGCACGATTCTGCCTTTGCAGCATGCAGACAAACTTGTTCCGTTTGTTTGAACCTCAGTGGCAGTTCCCTATACAGACATAAACAGACACCACAAACTGTCTTCATGTCCTTAAAACAAGAGGATCAGGATCCCACCTCCCCCAACCCTCCAGTCGTGCTTTTAAACTATTTGTGAGGAGGGGTTTTGTTTTTTTTTTACTTCCCAAGTGTAGCAAACTGAAGTTGAACTCTGGAGCGGTGAACACAGTCAGGTTTTTAAGATTCATTGCGAGGGGATTTTTCTGAACTAGGTCTCAAGAGGAGACCTTTGTGATCAATTTTCGGAAGGTTTTTCTCTGAGTGCTTATGCTCTCTAGGTCCTGATCCCCTGGCCCGCAAGAAGGCCCACCTGCCCACATTGAGCCCCCCATGGCTTTGTGGGATTCCTCATCCCAGACTCCACAGGGGTGCATTGGCAGGGTTAGTGTCAGCAGCAGTGTGAGCTCCAGGTAAGTGCCCTCCCTCATGTCTGTAAGTTTTCTTGTAAACTGAGATTTCAGACAAGAGAGTGAAGACATACTTCGGTTTTTATTGTTGTTTAGGCATGGATAGAAACATTAATCCTTTAGCACTCTTGGTTTTTGAGCCGTGCCGATACTGAACTCGGAGCAGTGAGGAACCCAGCTCCTAGGACTGACGACTTAAAGTGCATAGGAGATCTCGCAGATTCCCAAAAGGCGAGGAGTTGTTGTTATCCCTTTTTCATACCTGTGGAAGTCGAAGGACTTTTTGTCTTCTCCTCCCTGCTCCCCAGACAACGGTATGAAAATTTTCAGCCTTTCCCTATGCTTTCCCTTGCGAGCTTTGGAGGCGTCTTCTCAGTTTTTAAGAACTATCTGTAGTGTTACAAACAAAGACAGGTGACTTTTGCACACTCCTTCACAGGACTCAGTTACAACTTTTCCTGTTTAGAGTCACACCCACTGTGTTTTTTTTTAAAAAAAGCTGTCACTTGGCAGTGTTCTCGCACCAAAAGAAAAAGATATATTTGTATATAAAGTAACTTCTTTTTTTTTGCGTGTTCACATTTTATTTTGGAAAAACAGGTGTTTAAAAATTTTAGAATTTTTTTAACAAAATTCTAAAGAGAAAAAAATCACAATATTTACAGAGATAACATAATGGCTTAGCCATGCAAAACAAATTACTTTGGTTTTTTCCCCCATTTTACTTTGGTTTAAATATTGACCAAGATTATAATTTTTTCTTTTTCTGCCAAATAAAACAGTAACAAATCAAAGTTTAGAGGCATATAACAGGATTTCCCTCTAAGATTTTATACAGCATAGAGTTTATAGGACATCTTATGTATTTAATCCATGCCAATGCACTACAGGAAGCTTTTATTAAGACATCAGTCACTACTGCCCAGACATGTAACATTTTACAAATTTACAAGTAACAGTGTTTTCGTCCCCCTAAATAATGCAAAAGTGGCAAAATACATATCCTAACGTCCATCTTTTTCTTTTTATTTATTTTATTTATTTATTTATGCCTACCAGTCTATAAAAACTTACTTTTTCCCTGCATATTTGTCAATGGAAACCTGATGTTCTGCTTACTCTACTGTTCCTCTTCATCAAAGCTGCCTGTTACTTTCTCCTGGAAACTAACCTTCTGCACTAGATGAAACTTCTCTCCCTTAAATACAACTTCCTATTGGCCATTTACCCTAAAGCACTTTCTTATCAGTACCATTCTAAAAATTCCCTCAAGCATAAAACATGTTTATAAAGTTACAAACTTGAATGTAACTAAAGATACATAGACATTTCATTGTTACTATTATATGTACTGTTTGATAAATTAGGTACCAGTTAAAAACACTAAAATTATCTCAAGGTGCATTCAATATCTGTAGCATAGTTAACAAAAACACACAAAAAATATATATATATATATTCTATTTTTGTGGAAAAAAAATGCAGCTTTGATATGACCACTTTTTAAAAAAAGTTTCCAATTCTGACTGGTATCTTTTTGAAATGAAGAAAAGGTACAGTACTTTAAGGCAGCGGATAACATAAAGGAATCAAAAGTAATCCAGAATTCCAGTTCCTTATCCTAATTCTAACATGAAAGGCGACTGATAACGCATCAATAACATGTGTGTCTTGCTCTAGAAGAAAAGGATCATTAGCCACTGTCTGTACGTAGGCTAGGAATTTTTCATAGTGTTCCTTGCTCAATACCCAGACATCTCCGTGGAAACTCTTTATCCTCTTTCTGGCTGTTTAGCTTTGCATGGTTTTTTAAACGTTTACTTTCATTAACAATTTAGTTTATTCTTGTCACAGCTGTCACCTTTCCTCTTTACTGCGATTTCAAAGAATGAAAAAGGAGCTTGACATTTTCCTTTAAGACTGTCTTACACTCTAGGTACTTTCTACAAAGCAAAGGCTTCACTGATAACAATCAGAATTAGACATGTACCTGCTCAAAGGGTGTCATAAAAACAATTGAAATAAATCCATTACACTATACATCAGATTAACAGCAACTCCCAGAACAAAGCCTTACAGTGTATAAAAATAGCTACGTAAAAAATTTACATAAAGGCAAATGAAAAGAAATCTTCAGTGCAGACATTTACAAAAAAATATTTGAAACAGAACACAAGATGGTGACCTATTATCATGGCTGTTGCCAAAATTAGTTTGTGGGTTTTTTTAGCTTGAGATAATTGTCTAAAATCCTTTGAAAACTTGGTAGTATGAACCATGAATAGCTGTCACTTCTTTGTATATGCTTAAATACAATCCACGTTCATGCTTCAATTGGTCTATATGTATTCTCTGAAAATATGAAAGATAAAACCAGTTAAGCATTTTTAAAATATGTTAACCAACATAACTGCACAGTATGTAATCTTCAAGTAAACAGCTACATGAACAGTACTTCCTTTTGCCATTCAGTGATGAGAATACTTTCTTTCATGATGAGAATAGCTGTTGCAGTATCGTTCCCGGTAAACCCAGTAATTTTTTCTGGTAAGTAATGGATTTATGGATAAGCTTTCCTTTGTGTAGATATACTGATCTGACAACATAAAATAATTAGAGTAAAAGATTGTGCTGAAGGCACATGATGTTATCTGAACTCCTATGTTCAATAAATACCCTCAGCTACCTTCAGATCCATTTAATCACTTCAATATTGCAATGCTGCAGAAGGTAACAGGTCCAGAAAAAAAAATACAAACCAAACCCAAGATTACAGAATTTTCCCATAGAATTGCAGTAGAAATGCTGGGTATTCATACTGCAACTTTTTCAAAATCCAATTTTACTTATTTTCCACTTCTAAATCATTCACAGAGCATAATTTTGTTATTCTCAGTTCTCTCTTCCAAACTAGTAAAACAGTGATATTGCTAGCAAAGTGCATACGGCAATGCTGCAGCTCTTCATATACTATATCCTCACTCTACTTAATGAACTTTGAACGCTTAGTGCAAAAATAGTGCCTTGTACTTTAAAATGTCACACAATACTAACATATTGAAATTATAAGTAGGAGAGCTGTCTTTATTTAAACTAGAATTTTTTAAATGTAAATACAAAATGCCATAATTCCACTTTATGCTTTAAAACCCCGCTACCTAAAGTAGATACCCAATGCTGGGTACTTAACATCACTGACAATCAGGGCAGTCTCCACCTTTCTTGTTGAAAAACTCACAGGCAGTATCACTGAACGCTTTGCTACTCTCATTTTTAAGAGTAGCTGGTGATTAACTCAAGAAACCTCATTATGATTAGGAGAAACCATGCTCTTGTGCTACCACAGTGTTACTAAGGAGAAAGACACAGCAGTGGCACATAGATATGCAGCAGTGGTGTATATATATTTGAACACCGGGTGGTGCTGTTGGTGCTTTGCAGTGCTCCTGTAATTCCTCACAGAACTTCTACACCTACCTAATTGTTTGTATAGGGTTTATTTTATACGGATCCCAGTTGGGGAATCTTTCCTACCAGTTGCATAGTTCCTAACAATATACAGTGTTTCTCTCCAGGATGACATGGATAAGAGTATGTGAGAGCTTGAGTGAAGGAATGACTTGTTCTAGGGAAAGTTTCATGACTCTTGCAGAGATGACAAATAAGCTGACCAAAGACTTAAAAACTATTGCTTTCAGTAAGGCAAGAAGGCTTCTGTGAACATTTAAAGTCGTAACTCAAAACCTTCTAAACTATACATAAACATACTCTTCATATACACACATACACCCCTCCCACTGGTAATTCATCATACAAATTTATACTTTCATTTCCCCAAATACATGGACGAAAATAAAGCCAAGTACTAAGTTACGTCTAAATGTCAGGCTTCTTTAATATGTGTGTATGGAGGTATGAATTCTTAACAGGCCAGGGGCTTGAGTCTGTCTGTCCTAATACTACAACACTCAAAATCACTCCACGGTGTAACCTTTGACAGGTGAGCAACAGACTCTCTAGCTACACTGTGTTTGCTAGAGAGAAATGGTGGACAAAGAGATGTTAAATACTGCAATATGAAACACTTACCTGGAATGATGACTGACACATTTCTCTTAAGTTTCAGATTTATGATTGTTTTCTTCTAGTTTTTTGTTTTCTTCTATATTTCCAAGATCTTTGTCTACATGTTTTGATGCTGTCCTATAATGAAAAAATAAGGTCATTTTCACATGTCTGCAGCATTTTGTTCCATCCTCACAATCATGACACTGCCTCCTCTCCTCTTAGTAAAGAAGAAAACTCTCTCAGTTCTGAGCAGAGCACTAGGCTTGCATGTGTCTGTAAACAGGCCACCAGCACCACTTCCCTCACTGGTGTTAGTACCACAGGAAGTATTGCAGTAGGGCTGTATATGTTTGATTTACTTCTTGAGGAATTCAGAACTATTCTGAGCTAGCAGACATTTAGTAAGGTTAAACCAGTTGTGCAGATCCATGTTTCTTGACAAATCAATTGTTTAGCTTGTTTCAATAAACAAGAGTTTGCTTTAAGGCGTACTAAAACATTACAAGAGTGGCTAAGATATCTTGATCAACAGAGCAATCTTTTGTGTACTTGTAGTAATTGGCTTTCAGAGTCTGTGCCAAACAGAAGCTCTTTAACTGTGAAGAAATTAAGGAAAAATCTGGCAACGCTGAGAAAAACCCACGCTGGCTTCTAGATCTGTGCTAGCTATGACTGAAAAAGCTTTGGGTAAAGAAGAGATTGTGTAAATGTTTGAGGTGGGGAGAGAAAAAGAGGTATGCCTCATTTAAAATAGCAGGTGTTCCTTAATACAAGTAGTAGAGATGAACTAATGAGTTAAGTGCTTAGTGAAGCTTAGCACAATAAAACCACTAAGCCATTCATTTAATGTGTGAGAAGCCTCAATGTCTGCCAAGGTGAAAGATTCCTGCAGTGCTGCGATAACATTCTGAAGGCCACAATTTTTAAAATGTAAATGGGCAAATGTGTTTGAGTGGGACGAAATAAATCCCTTGTGTCAAAGCAGATTATCATATATGCATTTTCTCTGTGGATAATTTGTTTCCCCTCTAGAAAAGTAACGTCTGTTGTGACAGATTCATGCACATGCTCACCCTTGCTTCAGGTAAAGACCCATAGTGACACTGACTTGCAAAATACAATGAAGACACAGGTTAGCAAGACAGTGTGACATGTCACGCTGACACCATGCAGGTATGTACCTCCCAAAACCGCTGCTCTGACTTTTTGCTACTGGAGTGTTTCTGTGCCCATCCTCCATCTGAGCAAAGGCCGCTAGCCCTGGCTAAGCACTACTTGTGCCCTGACTTGAAGTAGCCTTGAACGGTACCACTAGGAGAGCACAGTTCAGTCCTTGTCTCAAAAGAGCTTCTGAAGGGGCCCAAAATCCCACTGATGACACTGAATGGGACCATTCCAAAATCTTTTTGGTTTCAGAGTAGGTTATTTCATGAGTGGCTCTAAGTTTTAATGCTTCAAGGCTGCATTTATGCTTTATTATTGGTTTCAGAGTGTCTGTTACGTTTGTGTGGATCACAGGAAGGTGTCTGTGCTGCAAAGATCTGAACTCCTGCTTATCGCAGACAAATGCAATTTTTAAAATCCTGAGATTACATCACAAAGTAACTTGTTGTACAGTGGTGAATTTCTATTGTGAGTAACTTTCTACTTTATTCTGGTATTCAAAACCTGAAACATGTGATGTGCACAGAAGAATGCAGTGAAGGATGTAAGATCCAATGAATAAGAAAATTCATTGCTTTGGTAGAAGTTCACCTTCTGTGATCTTAATAATTTTTCACAAATATCTTTAATCCTAGTAAAAAGGAAGCAACCTCCAAAACAAATAAATCCCTTAAAAATTAAAAAAACTTTTTTTTTTTTTTTAATTAAAAAAAAGTTTGGTTTGGGTAGAGCACAGGATTTGGCTTCTCATGTGGCTAACGAGTCTTTTCCACACGTAAGTCTTACAAAATTGGAGACAGTAGAGAAATAGATGAAAAGCTGAAAGAATCTGGACTCAGGCAGTTACCTGAGCTGAAATGAGCTGAAGGCGAGAAAGCAGTATCATACACGTCTGCCCTCATGTAACCGCTTATGCCTGCTCTTGGAGACAAGAGAGTGGACTGGAGAGACTATTGGCATGGCTCCGTGTCATCCTTGGTTTTTTTTTTTTGTCTCTTATCAAGAGCCTTACAGTGCCCAAAGCAGACTGGATTTCACATGACCTGACACTTAACAGTGGAGGGAACTGTACCTAGCATTACTGGTCTTTGATTAGGTTAAAATTATTCAGAGACTAAACCTGGGAGATTCTGCAATGTGATCAGGTTTTGATTTTTAAAGTGCTCTATTTTAGTGCTGCATTCAATGAAACTTTTCCCCTTGCTAAATGTCACCTCTATTTTCCTAAAGCCAAAATGGGTGAAAATGGGAGATTTAAAAGGCAGCACTCCGACTCTGAAAGAGACAAGCAATCCAGAACTCTTTTGGAGGATGGTATATACCACTTGCTTGAAATGAGAGAAGCAGCAGTTTTTCATGTCTGACAATCAGATGGATTTAGATTCTCAGTGCCCAAGACTGAAATACAGCAGTTTAATTCTGGCGGTTCGGTGATCTTGCTTCCCCCCTCCTCCACCCCCCCCAAATGCTGATACCCAGGCAGATTCATGACCTCAGCCAGCAAAAGCAACAATGCTGCCTTTTTCAGTGCTATCTACATAGTGTTATTAAGAGACAGAAGAGCAATTTTGCACTAAGTTGCAGCAGTGTGATCCATTGGCAGCGCTCTGCCAACAGCAGAGGACTAGGAGACCCTGGCAAGGCACCAAACCTCAGGGCTTGACAGACGTGACCTGGGTTCGTAAGAGAGCAAGGGCTCAAAACATGGTTTCCATCGCTTCCTGAGGTGACTTGAGGCACAGGAAAAATGGTCCTTTGCCAGCTTAACATTCAACAACAGTTGTTCCTTACTTTGTGTGCATTAATTCCTGTCAGCTTGCTCCATTTGCAGCTCAAGAGCAACTTCTTGATGATGACATCTGAGCAGCTGGGCAACACGGTTCAAATGGATGAAAATATTCCCGGGATTTGGCAAAAAGGGCAAGACAGCCCACTTTGCCCAGGCTACTCCACACACTTCAACATTATCTACAGCTCCACAAACAAAGCCCACACCTTAACATGCTCTGGCCATATTGTTCTGAAGAGCGAAAAGTGGGTTGTGTGAACAGGAGTTTACATATATCTCTCAACTGTTGTGTTTTTTTAATTCATTCAGAGCTCTTGCTAAAATTGTGGCTCATATTTTACATTTATTTATGCTTGCTCTTCAAGAAAGTAATTATCCTCAGGGAATTCTAATCAAAATCTCTCTGTAAGTTTTCCAAAGTGAGGTTTTCAGTTTTCTTTGGAGTATGTGTGTGTGTGTGCTGAGGGACTATTATTTTCAGGGATTTTGTTTAGATACTACTCGTAGCATTATTTTTAATATAAAGGCTATTTTCCATCTCAATTGTTTTGCCTGTTGTAGAGTAAATACGGACTGCATATAAATGACCCAGAAATTGTTGTTGAGTTTTAATTCTTGATTTCTTTTAAGCTCACAAGTCTAGGCTTCACCCTTAACACTGTTTAAGGAAGAAAATCTGCAGTGCTCTTTGTCCTTTCGATAATGAGGGGTAAGGGAATACATACTGGTGCAGTTCTGGGTGCTGAAGCAAGAGCCACAATCTTCATGAAAGCTTGTGTTCTTTTTGAAAGGCACGTTAGATGTTCAACTGTACTGCTGTAAAAGATTTTCTAGGAGCTAATAGTCCTGTAAATCCCAATCTGTATTATTTGCAGCCTCTTTCTATTAACCCCAGCTTTGCCTTCCACTTCCTCCAATTACTTTCAAATGTTCATCAGTAGGTAAAAAGACAAAGATGATACTAGAAAAAAATATTCCAGTCATCAAGAAATGAGTGACCATTCTTTAATTTGTGCACTTTTATAGAAGTTTTGTGACATGAACTGACACTTTGAGAGATGTTTGTAACTTCGCCTTTTCTCTGGAAGGGAACTGCATGGAAAGCACTACAAATGCTGAGTCTTGTTCAAAACATTTAGCAAGTTTCCTACACATTTGGCCTGCCATGTTTAGATTCACATGCTAATTTCCTATAATATATCAAAAAAGCATCATTGTTATGCTTCAAGTGTTCAGATTCAGACACCAGTAACATTCTTGATTACTCTGACCTAAGAAGAATTTCAAGAGTTTGGTGTGCTCTGAGTATGAGCAATCTTGAGACTGCTGCTCTGCTTCAATTTGCCCAGCTGGATTTTCCCTCACTGCACTTCAAACCACTTTAACCTTGATCCAGCCTCGTGTGACTTGAGATTTGTGCACCTCCAAACCCAAGGAGCACAAATGGGGCAAAGGTTCAAGCCACACGCAAAACTGCCATGCTCAGAGAACAGGGATACAGGGTGCAAGGTGTGTTATTCTTTCTAAATCTTTAATATGTGCTGTACTCCTGCCTGTTTCTGTCAAGGTGCAAAATTTCATATATGAAGGATGAGTGTCTAAGAACCACTTGACTATGGTCTGACACAAAAATTTTAGAAAGATTCTGAAGTGCTAAATTATATTAGTTTAAAATATCCTCTTTGGAAAAAGGATAAATCTGTAGTAAACAAGTCTTTGGCCTTCTGCTCAGATGAAGGAGAAACATAGCATGCTGGGGTAGGTAGCCTCAACTCTTTATTCGAATAAAGAGGGGGCTGGTTGGAGGATGTGGAATACAGATGAGTCCCTGATTTATGAGATAATACTTATAGTGAATAGAATATGTGGCAATAAAATAATCAGCTTTTGTATCAAGTGGAGCTGAGGCAGTGAATAACTACAGAAGTGATTTATTGTGAATATATTCCAAGGCTACAAGTATAATTCCTACTTAGTGTGGATGACAAGACAATAGAAGATTATACAAACCACAACACCAATAATGAAAAAAGTAATGTTTTTCTTGCCTCGGCAGACTTGGAAAGTTCTGTGCTGCTGCCTTCTCAGACTTCCCTTTGGCGTCACTTTGGGGATAGAGATTAGGTGAGTTACTGTTCAAGGGCGGGTTCAAAATATAACTACTAACTATAGGCCTGCATAGAGATGGAGGGGTTGTGATCAGACATAGGTTGTGTCTAAAGGTGTAAGGTGCTTTTTTGCAAGGTCTAATTTGATTTCTAGTCTGTAATTTGTGATGAAAACATTGTCAGAATAGCTACTGACACTCTGCTAGATCTTGCAAGTATGGCTTGCAGAAAGCAGGGAGGATAACAACAGTTCAACTTAAATATATGCTGAGAACAGGAGATTGTCAGTGATGATGCATCAATTAAGGGTTTCAAAGGCCAGCAACCGTGCATCAAATAGAAGGACTATTATTTAGCTATAAACTGATTTTTATTTTGTTCCCAGTGAACCTGTCTAACCAATTTAGCTCTAATTTTTACCCTAAGCTTGTCGAAGAGAAGTTGAGCTTGAAGAAAAGAAGTGTTGTCCATTTAGAATATGCTGCATCCTATCTTTGAAGCAGAAAAAGCGATCAGCAAAGGGCATGCTATATTCTAAGATTCCATACCAGTGAATCAGTTTCATGATTCCACATTCTCATATCCAAAAGAGAAGACAAAAGAAAATGCTTCTGGACATTATAACACATGTAGAAAAGTATGGGGGGAGGAGCTCAACATCAATAGTATGTTTTAACTTCTACAAAAAAGAAGCATAAGTTTCGCAAAAAAATTATATTTTTTTGCCTATATAATATCTGAATATGGTTCTGTACTTGGGTAATATACAGCAATTCTTTATTTGAAAAACTTCCTAAACCCGCTCAGTTACAGCTGGAGTAAAATCCTTATGCATTATCCAAAAAATGGTATTTTCAAGCAGATGAGAATTCCTTGTTGCACTTCTACATCAATGAAAACACATTTGTTCATAGTAAAATCTTACTGGTATGTTTTAGATTTCATTTGATCTCATTTTAATGAAAGGTCACAGAAAGAGCAACTGAACTTTAAGACTGCTTCTATACCTGTACTGATTTGTGCATGTTATGCATAACTACCTTAACCTTCCCTTTTAAGAAGCAGCTGTAAGAAACCTTCTGGAGGCCAAGCCTGCCCTCAGTTCCTCCTGGAGACAAATGCACAGGGATAAGGCCAAATGGCATAGTCATGGCCATCTTTAAAATGATAGAGAAACATGGTTACTTTTTGAGATCATCCAGTTTGTTTTCTACAGGAAGCCTGTGTGATAATAGACACTTGGAAGCAAGGAGGCCTCACTGCCAAATCCTGTTCTATGCCTAGGATGGCTAAAACATACTGATGTAGATCATAGCTCCTAGTTTTTCAGCAACACAAGATCTATACTAATTTTACTTCAGAGATCTCAAAGTACACATAAACAAATTAATCAAGGATGTCGCTTCTCCCTGAGATGGTTTTGACTTATTCTGTAATATATTCCATTTTTTAAAGCAAATGAGCTACCTAATTTCTAAATGAAGACAAATTTCTGGTACCAGTACAGCCAGACAAGAGTTACCACCCCACAATTAAGTAGCAAGTACTACATTTAAATGCAAGTACCAGCACAGACTTAGCTGTCAGGAAAGAGAACCTCATTACAGGTGATGATCTACGAAAAGTCTTGGAGTCCCACCTCCAGGAGATGTGCCCTGTTAAGTGTTAGGACAAGCCAAACAGATGGTGCCAACTTTCCCTTCTCTATTAAATGCACCTACTGTAACAGCTTTTCCCCACTCAGACTACCAGAATGCTGCAGGAAGGAAAACAGGTAAGCATACATTTCTGCTTAGCATTATTCTTTTTGCAATGTAGTATCAAGTTTTCCATAAATTCTTACTTTGATTTCTTCACATAGAGCCAGTAGACAACACCTGCAACCAGAGCAACCAGCAGAAGACCGACTACAATCCCCACTATTAGCTTTGCCTGGTCATTAACCTTTTCGCTATTGTCATCTGAAGCAAAGAAGAAAGGTTAATGAGATTACTTATGATAAAACAAACCATTAAACAATTTCTAAAAAAAATCCATTAGAAACAAGAAAAGGGGTCAGAAAGTAAAAATTTTAAAAAGTAAGCATTGTTCTTAAAAGCACATTTAAAGCTTCAAGAAAGTCACATTCTTAGTCAATCATGACACTATTTAAAATCAAGTAAAACTTTGAGGGACTGTGGAAATTGTTCAGTGACACTAGATAGGTCTTGAATTGACACAATCAACACAAAGGGTTATGGAGATAAAAAAGCATACATACCATTTCTATCCTCTGGCTCATCATATTCTGGAATACTTACTGAAAAGAAAAATGTTAAAATTAAATTGAAGACAAAATGCATTATACCTGAACATCACCTATTTACAGTAATGACAGACATATTGAAACTTAATGCAATGTTTGTCTAAAAAAGTAATTAATCTTTAAGCAGAAGTCCTTCCTTTGTCCAATATATCCAGTTGAAGAATCTTATTCAAAACCTGTAATATTAACCTCAGAAACAGTTCTGACTGAATATTTCTGTGCTACCTTTTCACAGACTGTAGCTTCTCACCACCTTTCATCATTGAAAAGTGACATTTGGTTAAAGCCTAATACAGCTGATTTTTCTTCTGAATCAAGTCATATCAGTAATAATAAAGTGGAATTTGGGAACCAAAAGATTATTTTGGTTTAGTAATAAAGACTTTTGTCTTCATAAATAAAGTATTATTTTGCAATATTTTGTACTATTATGTTGTAATATTATTTACTTTTCTAAATGCATGAGATAGCTGGCCAAGAAAGTCATGAAGACTAAGTGACTTCATCCAGAAAGCTATCAATAAATTTTATGTACTACTGATACAGACTGGATTTACAATTGCTTGACTTAAGACAAAAAGGTTAAATATCTCAGTACTAACATTACTATGCAGACCTACTCTTTATACGAGTGTGAAGTGTGGGTACTTTATGTGAAAATACAACTTTAAGGAAATGCACTTCAGAAGACACTCACTAGCAGAAACATTCAGGGAGGTCACAGTCCTTTCTAGCTGATTTTCTGCAATGCAAGTTAAGGTCACATTTTCCTCAGGAGAAATTACAATTTTACTGGAAAATTTCCCATTAACGTATTTTGTCTCCTCTGTCTGAAAAAGTAAAAACGAGGATTAGTATCCTTGAAAAATGCAAAGAACAATACAGGCATTACCTGTATTACACATTGAAAATGTTCAGAGGGAAAAAAACTTTCAACTAATATTTCAGTTTTCCAAACAATAGCAATAGAAATAATGCATTATTTTATTAAACGGTACTGTGTATATTTGCAAGAAAACACTTTGATCAAGGTATCTGCTTATAGCTACATTTTGTACAGTGTGCCCTGTAAGACCACTGATAGAATCATTTTTGAGAAAGGTAACCAGATTTTGTATTCACTTTTGTTTCTTTTGATTATTTAAAAAATATTCAAAGTGACAAAATTCATAAAGAAAAACCCCCCAAAAAACTCCTAAGGTCTCATTTCTTTCCATCTTGCTGTTTTTCACTGATGCCTTTATAAGGAAAATAATTACTGTAAGCTTTCCACTTTCTAGCATTCCACGTTGTTTCTACACTAAGCATTACCTTCCCAAGCTACATGTATTTAGTAGTACCTGCAGTACCTGTACTCTAATAGTTGTTCCCTAAAACTGCTGTACATAATTCTCAGATTAATACATTGTCCAGAGAAAATTATTTTCAATCATTTATATAGCTTCAAGACAATTCCTGCCCCAATTCAAGTAAATGGACACATTTTGACAGCTGTACATGTATTCTGTAGGAGTAAAGCAAAACCTAATGGAGTAATGAAATCCACAAGAGCACTGTGGATTATACTTCCAGTCTCTGACTGCTTGTATAGATGTCTCATTTATTTTTCCTGCTAAGGCACAACGCAGCAATGCTTTGCATGTGATTTGGTAATCAATATGAAAAGACTCCACTTTGCTTATTTTCCAGGTATTTTTCCTGCTGTATATAGGTACTCCTTGTCTTTCCCCCAGGATGACTGCATTACGGTTCTGTTTCCAGTGAGAAACCACAAGTATAAAGCTACAAAAACAACTATAAAAATCAGGATAAAAACTGCAAAGCCCATAAGGAACCATATTGACTGTATTTTCTGACTTGTAGATGCCACATTTCATTACATTTCTCTCAGTTAATGCCTATATTAAGTACCCGTTTGCTTTCTAATGTATGTTCTATAGTTCCGTCATTATTTGTAAATTCTTTATGCAATGGCAAAATCACCACATTACCCAGATAAAACAACTAAGCACCTTCACTTAAAAATGCATTTTCATTTGTAACCTTTTCTTTTTCCTTCTTGCTTTGGCTTGCAGCCAGCAGATCTGTGCCTTCACCTGCTCTATGCAAAAGACCTTTATCATCAGAAATCATCCATGTAAGTACCATGTAGCTACAGCTACCACTTAACTTTCTTTTAGATAAATGAAATAGACTTTGCTTCTTCAGTCTCACTACCTGGAAAATGTTCCTTGATTTTAAACTGCACCTCCTATGCACTACCTTTTGGTGAATAAAGTAATAAGAAAGGTACTTGCTTTATTTATGATGCTGCCGCTGCCAGTAACTGTCCATTGCACTGCTGGTTTGGGGAAGCCTTCCACATGGCAGACAATTGTTTTTGACATTTTATTTGTGTTAGTTTTCTTTGTCATTTTGATTTGAGGTTTTCCTACAAGAATAATATTATAGTTAACCATTCTGTTTGAAAAGGACAATTAATAATTACAGATATCTGCTCCCTTACCTTCCACAATAAGTTTAAGTGTCTTTCTTTTCTTTAACCCTTCTACCTCCTGTAGAGCAGTTTCGCAGATGTAGTTTCCAGCATCTTGATACTGAAGACTTGAAAATGATGGACTTGTTTGCATTCTGGTATTGTCCTGATAAAGCAAGGAGTTAATTTCTGTGCATTCTAACTCAGAATACATTAACTTCTAAGTTACAAATGTGACTACTATCAACAGAACTGTTTCCACATGCTTTGGTAGATTACAGTCTTACTCTTAAAGTGTTTCCCCCATTAATAACTACATTTGAATAGCCGACAGCAATCTAATAGCATGAAAAGTGGAAACTACTGGAGGTAAAAGCCATCTCTCTTCTTCTTGAATAACTTCACTTTCAAATCAATGGCATAGATGGCATCAATTATTAGTTCTGAGATTTTATAGTAGGCTGGCAAAAACCACTAGTGGTACAAACTGTTTAAAAGACAGATAACTTTCCTCTAGGCCAGGCTTCTGAGATCAACATATGCTACTAAAAGATTAGCAGGTATCATTATATTTAGTTTCCAGCAGGTTTAATTTAAACCCACCTTCTACGATAGTTTACTTTTCACCTGCCACTGAACACCAGTTGTTAACATTCAGTTTTTCAATCTGCCTTGCCCTTTTGTTATGTTTACTGGAACCAAGACCAAGCTTGCCTCCAAGAAAATAATTAATCCAAATTCCTCCAAATGGGCTTTTCTTCTTAGAGGGACCTGATTCCCAAAGGGCCTTCTATAGTTTATTTCAAAAGAGTTATATTTCTCTCTTCATGAGAAAATTGAACTGTTAATTACAGTAACTGATTTTCAGTCATCAACTTGATTCAATAGCTCTCATTTTAATCAAATGTGTATAAGACCGATTTTAACAATATCCTTTAAAAACCCAAAGAACAACATCCATCCTTTTCTTCCTTCCTTCCTAAATGCTGAAACAGCAGCAGTAATTTGAAGAGGTGAACACTCAGATGAAGTGTGAAGTGTGAATTACTGACCTTTATCCAAAACACAGTTGCATTTCTGCTAGAAGAAATTGTGCATGACACAGGCAGGGCCTCTCCAATCTGTTTTGTGACTTCCCCGCTAGGAGTAAGCTGCAAATCCAAATCTGGGATAGAAAGAACATTTGTCAGAAGTTAATCTCGGAAAGCCTGGCCCATTTCAAAGGCTTACCAAGGAAAGAAAATGTGACTAATTGCCCTCATTAAATTCAAGATTTCATTTCTTCAATAAAATCCAAGTCAATTTTACAAGTAAGGGAGAAGAGAGAATTATACTAAAATAGGCATTGCAGAACATTCACATTTTTGCTGTAATTATAGGCTAAAAGGAAAAGCAAAACTCACTAATCACTAGACAAATGGATACATTTTTTTCACCTTGTACAGCTGAATGACAGAGAAGGTACAAGAAGCTGAAGGAGTACTTCATATAGCAGAATGTGCATCTTGAAATTGAAAGCACTGCTGTGAGGGTAGCGTGCTATGGGCCAAGGAGAAATATATCTTCAGGAGAGGACTCATGCAAGTGGGGACAGATTAACCTAAACAGTAAGTGTGGAGAAAGACAGAAGGACAAAGGGTAACTTTCTTGAATTTGATGAAGCAAGTTGATTTTTATCCTCAGCATCTGGAGGGGACGAGGATGGTCAATACAGGGTGCATGAGGCATGATACTGACTGAAGGGGTGAGGAGTCTGAATTACAGGGTTGGGGGGAGCCACTCATGAGGCCCGAGGCCCTTTCACTAATTTGTTTACATTTGTAACTTAAAAAGCCATTTTTATGTAACTCAGCAGTCCAAGTTTTCCCTGATCTGTTTTGGCTCCAGGTAAATTGCAGTCAGTGATAGCTGTGTTTGACACAAGGCAGGGTGAGAGCCAGTAACAGAAAGATCAGGAAACACTGCGCTACGTTTTTCTCAGTATATGGATTTGGCAGACTAGTGGTTTCTTTTTTTTTTCCCCTTAAAAAAAATAAAAATCCTACACTGAAAGAAAAGTGGAGTTTGCCAAGCTAAACATCTCTTTTGCTTCCCCTCTCACAGTGCCTTGCTTATAAGCCAAGTTGCCTGGTCGAATGACTACCACAGATGCGTGCGCACACACACACACTCTCAAATGGCAAGCACATATGATTTCATCACGACTATAGTACTTGCTGGAAAAGGACTGCAAAACATCCTTTTGGCTTTTAAGCAGAGTTTTAAAAAAGCCTGAGCCAAAATCACAGTTGGTAGAGGAAAGGGAAAACGGTGAGTGTTCCTTAAAAAAACCAGTGAACTTTGCTACTGGCTTCATTCAGTGGTTGCCCTGGGAACGCCATTGTAATTAAAGGCAGAACTTCAGGGAACAACTAGGGTCCATCCTGTACTATTACTCTGTATTATTATCTGTGTTACAAGTCTAATGCCTAGTCCAAGAGGTCATAAGAACTGTACTTTCATCTGTGCATGAGTAAAGCAAAGAACTTACCACAGAGATAAAACGCCATTTTGTTTCTGTATTCCTACAGAGGCTCTTTCCTCTGCCTCTCCAAACTAGTAAATGCAACCTAACTAACAAGATACTCCAGATCTTGCCATTGTTTCCACAAGGGAAAAAGATGGGAAAAAGGAAAAAAAAAAAAAAGACAAGACTCAGTCAGTGAGCATTTGTATATAGAATCAGATGGAGCACAGGATGTGTTTCTTCTTGCTCTGTTACTGCTGAGCACATACTTCCAAGACAGAGGTCGTTGATGAAAAAGCTACGATTTTTTTTTCCGCCCTCAAGGTGACTTTCCTTCAACATCTACTTAAAACCTTTTGTTCTTTGAAGCAAGACAGCACCTCAAACCTAAGAGATCACTGAAAACCATACAGGAGAGATTTCTCTCACACACACCACAGGAAGCAGAAACTCATTAAAGTTTTGGCCTCTCACACAGTGGTCTTGGTTGCTATAGAAGTTCAGGAAAATTTACAGTGTGTGAGATGAACTGCAGAGCTCAGAGCAGTATTTGTAAGGTGATTTATGAGGCAAGTACAGAATTAAGCTACTGTTTAACATAGGATCCCCTCTAGGAACTCTACATAGAGCAATTTGATTTGGATTCATATTCTGCCAGTTGATCTGTAAAGTCCACAAAGAAATGTGATGTAGGTATTTTTACGTCTCAATTTATATGCTCCATTAGTAAATAATCTCTTCTTGGTACAAAAGTATGAGAAGAAAATATTTCTTGCCTACAGAAGACTGTCAAAATTCATTTTCTTTGCCATTGAAAGAAAAAACTTTTTTGCAAGAATTTCCCATGCATTTCCCATTTGGCTTTGAAATGTTCTTCATAAACAAACTTCTTATCAGGCACCATTTTCAATATATGCTAGCTCTTAATGTGGTCTCACTTGAAGTCTTGCATTGATTTCAGTGCTGCCTTCGCATACCAAGTAGCACAGGGAAGAGGCAAAGAGTGCATTCTGTATGTATTACCACATTTGTGAGAGGTATGGAATTAATGTGGGGAGGACTGGAGCAAACATTTCCGTTTTGAGACTCTACTGTATATATAGAACAGGCTCCCAGCATTTAAAGGAGGCCTCTGGTAGAATACAGTGTTACGACTGGGAAAAATAAGCACAGAACTTGCCTGCAGTCTGAACTCCCCAGATATACTAGCAGACAACCAGAAACTTTTCCTTGTATACTGAGAATAGATTTTTTTTCTATGCAACATTCAAAAGGTAATTTCCCCTGTATTTTCAATGTGTCTGCAAGCACAAGAAACGACTATAAAAATACCTATAGAGAAACACAAATGGTAAATCTCTAAAACGTTTAAATTTACTAGAAGGTTTGCAAATCTGTTTACCTAGAAAACACATTGTAGCAGAAAGGAAAGCATGATTAAGAAGTTCCAGAGCCCTACTCCATACTGGGTTGTATGTGCAGAAACAGCTCTAGTAAGACAGAAAGAAAAATAACTGTGGGTGGAAAGCTACATGCTTCTTCATAGCTGCGGGAAGCACACCTGTCCTCTACTGCTAGGTTCTTTCCTTGCCTCACACAGGTGTGATTCTGTAGCAGTTTGAGTGGTTGTAAACAGGTTCTGCTTGAGCCCCTTCCTTTTTCCTTCCTGGCCTCTGCCAGTTATGCTCATCTGATTCTGGGCAAACTCACTCAAGGCACAGAGCTGGCAGAAAATTAACAACCTAGTGTAAAAAAACCATACCCACAACATAAATCCTGTTCCATTGCTCCCTCTGTTGAGGGACAAATCCCACCAACCAATAGCACTCAGTTCTGACAGACTTTAAAATGGGTCTTTGCTGCACAGATCCCACACCTGCTCTGAGGGGCAAAAACCCAGGTTGTTCAGTTTGTCCCTTATATTCTGTGAGTAAGGAAGAGACCTTTTCTTCCCCCTTCTACTTTCTTTATATATAAAGTATTTCCCTAAGCATTAGGGGTAACTCTTTAATGTCAATTTTCAGCTTTCTATGAATCTCACGATTTAGTCATCTTGGAGGAAAAAAAAAAAAGAGCTTGGTATTGAGCCAGAATATTTTTTTACAAAAATATTTAAGGCCTATAATGTGCTAATGTATTGTCATACCAGCAAGAAGTTTTCCCTACCTAGACACTGAAAGGAAACAGTGAAATTATAACACTCAGTAATATCTGTTTGGGAAAAAGCACTACAGTTGAATTATAACCAATTACTAAAAATAGATTAATAGGTTTAAACTGAAATTATTTTATTGCCCTTTTTTTCGTGTGTGGTTTGAATTTTTTCAAGGGAAAAAATAAATGTCAAAAAAGTGTCAAGATTGGATGTGAGGAAACAAAAAGCCCTGACTCAGAATGAAGGCTTTTTCAGTGTAATGGCATAGACAGGAAAATTCATCCCTGTGTGAAATGGTAAGCAATAAAGCAAAAGAGGGCGAAAAAGTAGGGTTTGGTAGGCATTAATAATTATTATCTAAAGAACAAACCACATCATGGAGGCCTAGAAAAATCTGAAGATCTAACACCAAAAATATTTATGTACATTAGATAAACACTAAAAATTACTGGGTTATGCTGGAAAATTAATATAAAGCAACTGAAAGATGAAGGAGGATATTGTAAAACATTTACAAGTTTTATTACTTTCTCAGAAGTAATAAGACACCAAAGGTGCTTAAGGACAGGGCATGGTCTGGGGATTCAGGAAGTACAGAACTCCAGGCCACTACGCCTTACTTAAGCAAAGGCTTTATTGCAGATAGAGGTGTTTAGGAAAAACAAAACAAAACAAAAAAAATGAAATGAACCCTAAGTGAAGCAAAGCAGTAGTGTACAAGACTGTATCTATGAGCTCTGAGCAGCTGCACTAGCTGCCAACACTGAAAAGACTTCTGTCAAGAAAATACATGCTTCCCTCATGTAGTAAAGCTCTTCTGACATGATGACAAAACAGCAGAGAAAGGAAGACCAGCTTGTTATAAATAACTTGGAGCTGAAGAAGCCATTCTTCAGAATCACTATTTATGGAAGTACAAGTAGACATGCAATCCACTTGGAGTAAAATGAAAGGGTCAGCTTTACCACAGCAAACTACCAGCAAGCTACCTTTGACACTGGGCAGCTAGAGGCAGTAGTGCAGAGCCCTCTTCAGATCCTACATACCCTGACTCATACCAAAGAGAAGAGATGGGTAGGAAAACAGCAGATGACCTTATTAAATGCAAAATATTCACTAAATGGAATACTGTAATTATTCATATACTCATATATTCTGAATGCATTGTACCTCCTCCAAGAAAAAAAAACAAACAAAACCAAGCATACAAAGATGTAGTTTCTTTTTATGTAAAGTATAACCACTGTGTAAGCCTTTTAAAGTGTTGCTGATGAGTAAATACTCTAGTATCCAGCTAAAGAAACTTTACTGAGCTCTGTAACGCTCATGATTCTAGGAAAAGTGAAAAAAGCAACGTTTCCTATGTGAACATGATGAATTCCTAAGTCTCTTCTCTAGACTCCTCACACATTAACCTCATTGAGATAAGTTGAGAGGATACCAGACTAATGTGAATTCGACTATGAAGAATGACCTTCAGTGATACCACTGTGGGCCAGCTTGTGTGTTTGAGCATATTCTAAAACACCGCTGGATTAGAATAATTTGCCATATGTATGTTCACATGAGTGAAACATAAAATACCAGAATTTTCACTGTATGTGACAGTGCAATAAAACTGATCATATTCTGTACAAAGTTTACATAAAGTGAATCTGTAGCTGAGCCAATGAATTGAGAAAGTTAAGGTTTTCAAGCAGAAATACATTAGAAAAAATAAGCGTGACCTGACACTACTTCAAACCAACCACATAGTTCAGTTCTCCTGTAGGTTAACTAGACTAATCTACCCAAGTAAAGCAGAGAGAGATTATCCCAGAAGGTCCACAGTAGGTTTGTATCCTAACTAGGAGTGCAAAATGCAATGACTTACAGTGTACAGTGATGGTGGTCGAGTCCATCATGCTTTTGTCTGTCAGAGAGCACCTGTATTCTCCTGTTGCATTTCGTCTCACATCTGTCATTATGTAAGTATCTGAGCTTCTTATACCTTCTGTTTCTCCCTGCAGATGGAAAATGAAACATTTATTGGATGTAAGTCTGCTAAAAACACTAATATTTGATGAAGATTTTTCTTTATTATAGGGATGGTGAAATACTCCAAAATATGTATAGACACAGCATCATTGAAGTGTATATACCTGTTAATAATACTAAGGTTTATTTCCTGTGTGACACCATAGTTATAACAAACACCTACAATTAAGAGCTCACTCTTTTAATTGAATGACAAACTTATTTTAAGAAGACATTAAAATACAAAATTTGAAAGTTTAGCAGAAAGAAAAAGGGGAGAAAACAAAAGACTGAAACGGTCTATGAATAAGAGTGTTGCAGAAGTCACAACAACAAAACAAATCGTGTTTCTAAATCTGCATCTGAAATTATATATTCAGTTTAGGAAATATCATGAAATTAAGTGTACTGCATTACACATTTTTAGACAGCACAAGCAAAGGATGTGCTCTATCCACATCATGGTATGGAGCCTGCTAGGGTATACACTACCTTATACACAGTTATCTACAGAACTGTTGTTTCGAATTAGCCAGGAAGAGTTGCTTTCTGGCTGTCCAGTTCCCCAGTTTCCCCCGATTACAACTGACTGACATAGATCAGCTCTGAAACAAGCACAGAATGAAACCCTAATTTGTATCTCTGAATCTAGATACCTGTGAGTCTTGCAAAGAGATCACTAATTCCAGCTCTCCTTGAGCAAAAAGACTAGTATCAGGTAGCAGGAAGACTGAAGATAAGACATACTTGGGTGTTTAGCTCACAGTGAGAGTACAACAAGGGCAGATACCATACACATTTTCCCTGGCATATAGTGAGTTCCTAGGATGACTCACTGAATCTGAATGGCTGTTCTGAGATAAGGGGACTCCAGCTTCTAGTTTCCCTTGCTGCTCTGCAGCAACTGAAACATGCCAGGAGTCCAAAGTAGATGAGGATTATGTTCAAAGGGTAACATGCAGTTTTTGAAACAACTGAAAGCATACCACTGCTTTTGGCCTCTCTCAAGATCAGCTTTGCTCACTACTGCAGTAGGAACAAAAAAAGAGACATAAAATAGGGGGGAGAAGCAGGACATAGGAAGCAGGACTAGGAATCTTAAGAGCATAAAACCACATCTGTCTGTGGATTTCACCAATACTAAGAAGATTAATGGTACCAAAGCCTTTTTTTCCTCAGTCTGCATCTTATGCACTTGACAAATTTGTTTCTACACTTTCTTCTACACTGTCACACTTGTTCTTTTTAATGTCGTTATGCCATCAAATAATTAATTAACTAAATAAAAGAAACTGCACAAAGATTCATCTATGAAAGTAAAAAAAAATAAAGTATTTCCTATACTTTCACTGCTGGATCTTTGTCTGTTATGACAACAGATGAGATGGTTTTATTCAAGATGTTAAACTGCTTTAGTCAAAATTGCTCCTTATCAAAATATCTGATGCTGGGAAATGAAGCCTAGCAAATTTTAATAGGTCCAAACCCCAAAAAACTTCAGGTGGAATGAGTGAAGGAGAGTTTTTTTCAAAGTATTTTGCTAACTCAATTGAGGCATTATCAGAGTCTGATGTAATGGCCAATGCCTATTTTCAGTTTTAGTCACATCGAATTCCTTCCTTCATTTGTTATAAAATCACGTATACAACTGACATGTAGCAATGTCTGTAGGAAGGGGTGATACAGAATATTTCACAACGCAGTGACAGTCAGGCAAGGCTTACTGGAATGTAAAACAGGAACTCCTGTGGAGGAGGGTTGCCATTTCCCGAGCACTTCAAAGTGATGTTATCGCCTTCTTTAATGGTACGATGTGACAGCACTTGAATAGTCACCTTCTCTGTTGGATCTGTGAGAATAATGTACACATTTAATAGCTTCTGCAAAAAAGCACCCAGTAACACTATGCATACGATATTCATGGCTGAAGAGTACGTGATTTTATTGCCATGCAGGTGAGGGTATTCGCATGCGTAGCTCTTTTTATAAAAGAACTGAAGTCAATCACATTTTCTATACTTTTGTCAATGATGTAAGTGCAAAGACGACATATTTTCACCAAAATACCTGTAACTGAAAGAGCAATAATTACAACCATGTCATGTACTTAAACAAAAAGCCCCTACCTGATCAGTACAAACAGTTTCATGGTGTGATTTCATTATGAGAGATTAACTTGTCCTCTGTGAAGCTCACCGTTTGGAGGACTGCAGCAACCAGGAAAACAACTGGAGCTCTAAACACCCTGCATTAGTACTAGATAATAGCCTTCTTGCATTAAAAAGAAAGAAATATGAACTAAGTGACTACGTTCAGCCTACTCTATATGCTGATCACTACAGGCTTTCAGAAAGATGAATCTGGTGAACATAATAGGACCCTTAACATAGTCAACAGAACTGTAAATGTAACATAGTTCTGTCATGTTCAGTGAAGTTTAACTATAACTTACATTTTACTATGGTAATTTTTTTAAGGCAAAGACAGAGTATACTTTAACAGATGCCATTTTTTCTAAGTAGAAGCCTAAATATAATTTTTCAAAAACAAAGTAAAATGAACAAAATTAAAAGAAATAATATGGCAGATAACTCTCACTGTTTTCATTTCAATGAACAAATAAAATTCCACCAAAGATGCCACTCTTGGATTAAGACACAGTACAGTGCACCTTATTAGACACTAAAAAATTCTGCATGGCAGAGAAACCCTTGCCTGACAGTTGATTTCGTGTGTTTAGTGGAGTGTGTGCTCTACAGCCCTTCCAACCCTTAAGGCATTCATCATGTCTGTCTTCTACTATGGGACTTCTCAGTAACAGGAGCTGCATTCTGCTGTGGACTCTCAATGACTGAGAGCCCTAACACAGCATCTCATTCCTCCTCGTAGGAGGAGGGGTATCGGGCTTCAATAAGACACATCCTCCCTCCTTCACATGCAATAGCCTCGGCTATCTGCAACATCCAAATGACTTCCATCTCAGTACCTTCAGAGCTGAAGCACAACTTTGCCTGCTTAGGAAAGAGAAGTCCGGCATCCCTGCTTCTGTGGAATACAACAGATGCAATGAAGCAGCTGGCCACGAATGACAGGCATGCCTCTTGGTGGTTGCTAGGCCAAAAAAAACAGGTTCAGGGACTGTCTAGTGAGCTAGCCTGCTGCAGAAACTTGTCTCTCCTTTGTGAAGTTTATGTGAAGTTGACAAAATGTGAAAAAGTTATCATACAGGACGTCTAGATATACCCTGGAATTGCTCAGTCTTTGTCTCAAGACTGCAAAAGGACGAGTTACATAATGAGGAAGACTTTAGGACTTGAATTTGGAATAGGTTTTCCCACAGAGTTGAACAGAACTGGATTTGAAGTGGACACAGTTTAACAAGAACAACATTCTTGCAAACCACCAGTCTTTCCTGAAGGAATATCTTGCCTTTCTACCTACTGCAATCATCCAGGAGCAAATTTTTAATTTCATTCTCTAAACTGGAAACAAAAAAAATCTACAGGCATAAATAGCAAAAGACTAATTAAATTGTTCTCTAAGGCAAAGAGGTCACCCTTCTGAGGAAGATGTAATCTGACGACAGAAAGACAGTGCTGAATGCAACGCTAAGTGCTGCTTAGCATGAGCAATGCGCCTGGTAACAGTATGTCTTGCCTCTCAGTGGCACATATCCCTGGCTTGGCCCATCTCACCCTGTGCTTCTGTAAACCTGAGATTCTGCTTTCTGCAAAATTTTGGGAGCCAGCACCAAAAGGCAGTTATTTAGTAAGTAAATGGTATTATTCAAGACCCCTCACAGCAACAACTGCATAATTTCAAGAATAACACTAATGCTGGAAGTATCATGAGTATAAAGTGTCCTGGACTCTAATCTGTTATGTAAAGAAGTTTATCCATAACAAGACAGACACTTAACAACAGGGCATGACTGGAAAGTCTGCCTGACAAACATTATCTTTTTTTACACTGATTAACGCTGAGCAGAACCCAACATAAGTGGAGTCTAGATAATTCAGATATCTGAGATACTATCTAAGTGTCCAGCTCCAAGAGTTCTCTTGAATTCTCTCTTACTTTTGGTATCTTGCTTGCTACAGCTGCAAACAAGAGCTGATTACTGCTAGCAACCCAAGTTATCCAATTTCAACCAGCACCCAACTTGGCAGATGCTAATTCACTCTTCCTCTCATACTGGGTTACAGTGGCTGGCTGCTTCCAGGATGTCAACTAGCTATTAAACACTTCAGTACTAGAGACTGTACTAACCATTTCTAACTAAGCATTTGTTAGATCCTGACTGAATAGGTATACCTCTAAAAAATAATCTTGTGTAGGCATAGCTTTAAGCATGCTCCTGCCATTTCTTTACAATAAATGGGTAAGTTGCAAGGAATGAACAGCAAGTCTCATTTATGATTTTTTTTTCCTTGCTGAAAGGCTGAAAAGAAAGACTTCCATTTTTTAGAGTTGGAGCCTGCCTTTTTTTAAATCTGCATTACATCTGACTTATTAAAAAATCCCATATATTGAGAAAAACTAATTAGCATAACTGAACTAAATTAAAAACCAAAAACAAATCAGACATGTCATTATCATCAACTAACAACAATTAGAAAATCCATCTGTTGAAGCTTTAGATATCTATTTAATAGTTTCACAATGTCATTTGGAAATGCATTTGAGCAGAGTAAGGAATTGAAGTTAGAGCAAATGAAAATATTCAGAAAAGAAATTTAGTAACCTCATACTCTAAAGCCAAAGTTCATACTCAAGGCCTCTTCAGTACTGAAGGGTGTGCCTGCCTCCCAACGTTGTCTAATTAGCAGCACAATGATATTGCCCATCTCTGGAGGAAGAACTATCTTAATTAAATTTGTGTGCTAGTAGACCAGAATTAAAAGAGCTAGTCTAGCAAATATTAAATCTTAAATGCAGAGTGCACATGATTTCTTGTGCAGTGACTGTTCTACAGTGCTGCACAAACCTTTTTTCTTCACATTGGGTAGTCCTTAATTGCAAGTGCACATACTACATGCATCACAGAAATCTGCAAGAGTCTCATCCTCAGCAGGTGAAGCAGCCGAATGTATGAAAACGGTGGGGAAGTGAAGACAACAAAACATCTCTTTGTAACAGCAACAAATTTGGTACCCAAATTTAAAGCAAAAACAAAAAATAAAAAAATCCCTCTAGCTTTGAAGTGATGAGATAGATGTCTGCAGGCTTGAAATCTCTATTTCAAAGGATAATGGTTGCTGTTCCAGAGGTTTTCTTCTCCATTATTTCTGCTGGTTGTCATTCTGGAGAAACAGCTAGTGAAAAGGCAGCCTTAATTTACTTGGGCTTCTCCAGGTAAAACCAAGGAGCAACTGCTCCAAGGTTTGATTTGATTTGACCAAGGTCAAAACTGATACCCTACTCCACAGCTCAAAAAACTCTACCAGTGAAGGAGAAGCAACTAATCATCTAGGTAGAATATACCCTGCCATTTCAAGCCTGTAGCTTTCATTTTCAAGTCAACGGAGCACATGTGCTAGCTGGAGAAATCCACCCTTACTAATTTTCTTTGCATTCAACTAGATTAGAGTTGTTACACAATGTATACTAAGACCCGATTAGATGCTGGACTGTATACTTAGACCTTACTATTCCCAAAACAGGGACTTCTCTTTTATAAGCTGAGGTATTACCTGAAGTGTTACAGAAAGGCAACACCTGACTGGACATATCGCATATCTCCTGTTCCTCTACATTCTGCTACAACCTGCTGCCTTCTACAGTCCAGAAGTGTAATTTTACAAGACTTAAAAATGCCTCTTTCCCCCTCCCTAAGTGCTACCACCACCTCTGACCTTTCCTTGCCAACTGCCTGTTTTGTTTATTCAAAGGAGAATTGCAATTTCCACATTGGTCAGTAACACAGTAATGATGTTGCTTTAAGACTCAGGCCAGCTGGAAGTAACTATTTACACAAATTTTCTCTTTAAAAGTCTACCGATATTCAAATGATACACTTTAGCTGTAAAAATCAGCATCTTACAGAGATAGAGAAGCCACTGCACTTTGTGCAAGGTAGTTTGCCAGTATTAGCTGTTTGGTGCTGACTCTACAAAAATGAAAAACATTTGAGTATACTAAAAACTATATTGTGTACTTATTGTATAAGTAGAGATTTACTCTAATCAACTACTTTAATTTTGGTGAAGTTCTGTAAAGTCCATTTCACTGTGACTTTTTGTGGTTACCCCTTTCCTCTTGTCAATGAAAACTTGATATTCAGTATTCTACTGTTAGAAAGAAATAAATCTTGGGTAAATCTGAAGATAAATAACAATTACACAGACAATGTACTTGGACCTTCTTGCTGCAAACCAGCTTTGAAGAAACCATCTTGACAGCCGAGCAGCAATGTCTCTGTAAGTTTGCAAACCATCTCTGATTTGTCTCTGATTTTTTCCCCTGAGGTAGACTTCATACAGCAATAGATGCTTTTCAATTACTTACAGTGAACATCGAAGACAACTGGTTCAGACTGTATTGTTTTCTGGCCAGATGGTCCATAATATGTCACAATGCATGAAAACTTGGCATTTGCATCTTCCTTTGTTGGCATGTACTGAAGAGATGATGTCATGGTGAAGAGTCCAGTTGATTTGTCCACAATCTTTTGCAAATTTATGACCACAGCTGAAAAGGAAATACTGTTTCAGTGTCACACAGACAGAATTTGCAACCTTTTCCCCACGTTTTGTTGCCTGCTCTGTATTATCAGGCTGCAAACATGCAAGCAACATGACAAAGTACTCAGTAGACTGTACAAACAGTTTTCTTCCAATATTGCCACTGACATATGCCAGAACCCTTTTATCCTCAACATACTTCTAACATACTGTACATTTTAAATCAAATAAAAAAAATACTAATTGCAAAGCGGTCAGGTTTTCAATATAAATGTCAGCTTCCTTTGTAAGACAGAAAGAAGACTTAAAAAATGCTGGCAAAACAATTTTTAGGATCATATTTCTAACTTAATTTTGTAAGCATTCTTTATTTTATGGAAGGTAAAATATCGTAGTCTGATCAGCCAGACAAAATCAAAGTTGAAAGGGAGGGGAAAAAATGTTTTCCTAAATATCCTGGAGACTAAATACCTGTATAAAGAGATGATGATCTACATGGTCCAAAACACAGTATCAGACAGCTGTGAAGTTAAGACCGTTAATACCTTCTGAGAAGTTGGAAATTAGATACAGGTTTCTACTAGCTACACAGGCTCAAGAACAGCTTTGTAACTGCATTAACAAAGGCATCCCTCATTGCCATGATGTGGTTTTAAAGCTGGAACTGAAAGAGAGAGATTGGTGTAGCCTGGGTGCTCCAAAAGGCCTAGAAGTTCCCTTCCAGTTTCTCCTTTCCATATGAGTAGTCCTCCTCAAACGAACACTATGTTAGACTAAAGCAGAGCAACTCTTAACAAGCACAGTTCTTCAAGCATGCCCCTGTCTGTGGACTCAGGGACGTTGGCCATTACAGTAACATACCTTCTTCCACAGACTGCAAAACTCTCCCATTTTTGTACCACGTAACATTGCCTTCGGGATAACTCTCTCTTGAAACACACTCCCCGAGCTGCAAAACAGAGAGGAATTAGTTGCTGGTTTTCTCCACTATGCGTTAACAGAAATTCTATTTTTGCTTATGCTGCTTTGGGTAAAGATTTCTAGAAAGTTCAAATGCTTAGCTCCAACCATTTTTTTTTTAAATAGGACAAACCCCATCAGTAAGGCTTAGGCACAATTTGGAAGAGGGTTTGGTGGTGGGTCTAAGATCAGGATGGCCCCTGTTTGCTGAAGCAGGCAGGGCTAATATGGTAGTGGTGAGGGAACTGCTCTGTGCTCAGCCTGGCTATAGACTGCGATCTCTCATGGACAGGTGTGCATGCACATACGTGCACCCTCTCTGGGCCTCAGTCCATCACCTCTCTCCATCTTGACTGTAAAGGCAACCAGCAGGCACATAACTTTGAGGAAGAATATGCTGTTCTTACCATTTGTAGCTTCTCTGTTTCTAAGAAGTCTGCTTGATGTAAGATTTCTGGTTGAGAAGGTTGTTCTAAAACAGAAATAGGACAAAAGTACTAATGAAGGGAGCACAAACAATTGTTTGAAAAGCAAAAAGTTACTAAAAGATAAATGTTTTTTGAGAATAAATAGAAAAATCTAGCCTGGTATAGTCTTACCTACGCTTTGACACGAAAAGATGAAAAAGTGTGATATTTCTACCTCAATATTAGCAAATGGATTGAAAAGGAAAAACCATCACCTTAAAATGTGTCATAATGAATTCCATGCATTCTGACAATACATATATTTAGCCAGGCAGACTAGTTCAGCAGCTGGGAGGAGAGAACCTGATCTGATCTATCTGATTTATATGACATACATGCTGAAGAAGGAACCAGGAAAATAAAAGCAGCTTTACTGTGGATATTACTGTAGCAGAGCTGACACGTTATAAAGGAACAAATTCAACCTAATCATTCTTCTAATGTTTATTTTTCCTAACTGAGATTGTTACATTTAAGAAATTCAGATGATAGAGATAAGTGTAATTACTCTCACTGATTCTGAGTTAGTTATGACTCTCCTAAAAAAAAAAGACACTTTTTCTTCAGTGCCAGTATGTCTTCTTATTTACTTTTATTATGGTAGATGGACCTCTTAGCTTGCCAAAGTGGAGAATCTATCAGTGTTTCCACCATAAAAAACTACTTTCTAGAGACTACATAACTTGTCTGTTAAAACAGTTTGGCCTGAAGCCTGGAATGCAAATTTGTATCTCCAAAAGAGACAGTTTTCCCCACAATTTTAAAAGAAGAGGGGAAGAGCGAGGGGAAAAAATAAATCAATGTTTATACTGTGGAAAAAAAGACTCTACACCCTAGCTATATTGCTTAAATAAGCATACATATTATATACTTTTACAGACTGAAACATCCTTAAACATGCCAGCTTACAGAACCTTTTTCCCCAAGTCAAGCTCCCTATGAAATAATGTGTTTATGTCAGTAACCGCAGCCCAAAGTGAACTTCACACCACCCTGCCATAACCTCTACACACTGATGAAGTTACTAATATGCAGGTGTAGTGCTTCTGCTGTCACAGATATAGCAAGCCTACATGTTTCCACAACAACCCATTCACTCTGTGGACGTGTGCATTCTGTGTGTACGTGTGTTTGCGCGCACACAATTCTTCGCTTGGAAGACTAAGCCAAAATGAAAAAGAACAGCTCTAAAGGGAAATGAAAAAAAACAATAAAAGAAGCTATTCATTTAACGTTTTCAAACAACCTTGCTTGTGGCAAAAAAAAAGCAAACAAAACAGTCAAAGCTAGACACCAAAACCATCACAATTTCTTCAAAGGGCTAACAAAGATATTTTAAAAAGAGGTACACGTTTGTTTCTCTTTTGTTAGGTTTAAAGGAAAAAGGTTAATCTATTTTCTCTAAGAACCTGTCAAAGACAAAGCATTTCATGTCAATTCAAGCAAATTAGGTTTTACACCACCATTAACAGGCCTTCCGGTTCAGATTTTTATGTCCCATAAACAGGCGTAGTTGGCTGCCTGTCAGTCACCAGCTGATCAAACCACAATGCCATACCCCACCTCGGCTTTGCTTCCTTTCATCTCTCAACCCCCACAAGACTGGCTTGAGAAAACCTTCTCTGCATTTTGGACCCCCCCTCTCTCACAATGCTCCTACTGAGGAAAGGACCTCCTGCTCCATGGCCCCTGTGGGGCACCCCCTACTCTGAATGCTCTGGTGACAGAGCAGATGCTCCAGTTTGAGAGGGTACCACCTGCTCTCTCAGAGCAGCCTCTGAGAGGAAACGCCTGCTGCCAGATCCCCACAGCCGCAGCACGTGCACCAAGGTAATTCACTATAAAAGACTTATTTGGTATTTACTAGCTCAGCGTCTGAAGCGAGAAGGAATTTTAAAGTTGGCAGCAGCAGAGCCTGCTTTGGTGGGTTTGCAACTTCAGCACACTGCTTATCTCTCAACTTAGGAGCTTGCCAGAGTACTTTGCAACTCTATATAGGGCCTAGAATAGTGTGGAAAAGAGCTCACTGCCTGCAAAAGCCAAACATTGGTGTAGTAGGACACCAGCTAAAGTCCACTGAAGTGCTCTGCTCTGGAAACTCTGGCCATTTAATTCCAGGAAAAAAGATGCTGACAGGATCCATCTGGAAAGCTGGTAGAGCTTGTTTGAGTAGTCCAGTGAGTGAGGCTAGCAGGTGGTACCTGCGCAATGAGCCATTTCAGCTCGTCAGTTCTGCGTTAATCAGGTAGCACAGCTGAGGACATGGCAAGCTCCAGTGAAACCCAGCTTCAGTCACTTCTGGGATACAGCTGAGTTACAGGTGCACAAGATTTTGGTTTATGAGGGTTTGCACTGCTGCAGTTTAGCCCTGTATTTGTGGTTCAAGGAGTCAGAAACTCCACTGGTTAAATAAATGAAGCTTGCAAGCTAGTGTTAACTCTTTCATAATTAGACCAAATAAGAAAGTAGCAATAAAAACAAACAAACAAAGAAAACCCCAAGAAACAAACTCAAGGGAGTTAAATGCACAGAAATGCTAAGACAACCCTACATAAAGCTGTGAACACAAAATGAAAAACTGCAAATGTAATTTTTCTCTTGCAGTTCTAAGTCAGCCACACTACATACATGGCATTCTCTGTTCATATCTTCTTCAGTAAATAGAAGCTTTCTCTATTAGTATTAATGCATACAATAAAACATCCAAGCTGTGCTCCATGGCTGAGTTAACATTGTGTTAATATTTAGTACAGTACACAGTAATTGAAGCAGTTAGCATTTCATTTCACCATATACCACTGTCTCATCTACATATTTACTGCTGTGTGATAAGTAAACATGATAATTCTTTATCATTTCCTCTGAAGTACTGTGCTTACTATGCATGCTCTGAGCACGCTCCTCCCTGTTGTCATTAATTCGATTGTTCTTGCAGTCAAATTGAAACAGAAACGAGGGAGAGGAATTACTGTTGGCTCCTAATCCAGCTTCAGACTCATTCATGCCGCTGACAAACTTCTGCCTAGACACCGCCAATGACTCCCTGACACCCTCTCCCCGAGAGAAGCATAAGGCTGCCCTTCCAAAAAACGAATTAATGTTTTTCAAACAGAAGTGTGATCTCTTTGAAACTGCTCATCCCTGCAAGCAACAGAGGACTTAACTTTAACTGTGTAAATCTGCATCTGAAGAGCAACAAAGGCAGGAACAAAACCAGCCATATGAAAACACGAAGGCAAGGAAGATATCCTCTGCAGTCACAGGGCAGCATTTACAAACATTAACTTTAGTCTCAGCGGACCTGCGCCCCTAAAAAGGGGTAATGGATGCCTCCACGGGCTGAGTCAGTGTTTGAGAGATTACACATCTGCTCTGAATCACCACCAGGAAGAGACCAGGCTTGATCACACTCCTCTGCGAGCTCAGCGCAGGACTGTGCCTCAGGGGCTGTGGTTTGCAGTGCAGATCAGCCTTCTGATCCTTCTGCAGTGATATCAAAGACTAATAAACTTTGCTGTGCTCTAAAGGAGAACTGCAGGCTGGTCTTCCTCCTGGTAGATCAGCAGGGGACAAAATAAGCATTTGGGGCTAGTAACTCGTTTTCCAGCCCCTCGCTCTCTCCTCTGTGAGAGACCTGTTCACACCATTGCATACTAGCTGCTCGGAGCTGCTTTAAACCTCTCTGCTGATATAATCCTGCAGACCGCACACAGTTAATGCTTCCCTCCTGCAGAAAAAATCACTCAGAGAACAAATGGAAAATAATCAGTGCTAATTTTACATTTTTCATTTCCAAGGCCAAATGACATCACATAAGTGAGTCATTATCAAAGCCTAAAATTCTCTTTGAGCCAGCACTTATCGTGAATAAACTGCAAGTGCAGACAGTCCTGTTACGTAAATGCCACCAGTAGATTACACTTTTGAAAGCTACAGAAATTTGCTAGTCTTAGTAATTTACTCAGCCAAACTTACTTTCTTGGCTTTAATCTTTCCCTTAAACAAAACTTTCTGTAATTTACGATTCAGATGCTGATGAATGTTAACAGTAGTAACAGCTTAGATTTACTTACTGAAGACTTTGACTATCGTTGGCTCTTCAGAAACATCATCTTCTGTAACTAGCATGCATACAAATCTCTTTTCATCACTAATTCTTGCATCCTTGATGGATAACGTGTAGTTTTCTGAGAGACTCAACCTGTCTTTGTAGTCTGGTACATCATCATACTGTACATTTTTTTTTGTCGATGATCTGAAGGCAATAAATACTGGAGATCCATTTGGCATTTCCTATAATAAAAGGATAAACACCTCTATTTTGCATAAACACTTATTAGAAGTTCCTGAAGATCTGCAATTGGTACAAACTCATAATTTAAAAAACCACGAAAACAACATCAGATGTTTTTTTTCCTTGATTAACTTCTGCTGTACAAGCAAGAAATTCAGTGTAATACAAGAGCTAGCTTAAGACTGCCGTGGCACACACTGAGAATATCATCAGTAGAAATAATTTCAATCCGTTGGCTCAACCTCAGCATAGCGTAGGGCTTCCTCTGATGAAGGCTGGCGGTTCTGGCACCAGCTGCCTCTGTCTGTATGAAAAAGTATTTGAAACAGAAGCATTCGTGAGCTAGGCTCAAAAGCTTCAGTTTCCTTTTTATCATGATTGTTTTACATATTCATGTTGTTTGTCTGGGATATTCAGACTTCATTCCAAATGCAGGATGTAATCAGGCATAACTGCCTATTTTATTCTAAGTTAGTTTTTAGCTTTTTTTTTCCCCCTCTTTGTTTTTAAAGGACCCAAGAACTTGTGGCATGGGAATATACATACAATCAAATATTGTTATTTATGCATCTCAGGATAATCTGCAAAATATCATTTTCTAGATATCCTCCTTATATTAATCAGTATGCAGCTGCCATCCTAAGGAGGAATACAAAGTTGACAGCCTTGCACAAACCTACCATATCAAAAATTTATGGCCAAGTTCTGCAGGATTTCATTTCCCCCCACCCCAGAGAAGCGACAGACACTACCTGCCTTTAAATAAAGGTGAAAGGCTGACTCAGTCTTTACAGCCAGTATTGTGCTGGGGGCTGGAAGAGGTTTTCACTCCCTTTTATCCCTTGCACCTTGTGGCACTGATGCGAGTCGTGTTCCCAGCACAATACCTCAGCCTGACTGCAGAGGCCACAAAAGCATGACGATGCCGTGACAAGAGATGAGCTGTGTCAGAGCTGGGCAGGGAGCAGGAGGCAACATCTAATGGGAAGTTCAAATTCCCGTATAGTCTTTCTCCCTCTCCCATGATTAACTCTCATATTTATTCTAGATGTCTGTCACACAGGATAGAGAGCATCTCCTTGACTCAATACACACAAAGGTGGCTGGCAAGAGCAATTGAGCTCTTAACTCTGTAAGTCTACCCAGGGCACGAGCATGCACAGGTAGAAACTGAAGGGAGCAGCACCTGCTCCTGCCACAATGCAAGTCGCCCAGTGCCCTCAGGCTCCCACCAGCAACCTGAATTGCTGCTCCCAAACCAGCAGAGCAGATAACAGAGCTCCTCCTTCTTTCAATGAAATAATCACCTGACCAAAGAGACCTAAAACAATGCTCTCCCTGGTAAAAACAACTGTTGCCATGCTAGGAGCTGCCCTGGGAGAATGGCTATCACTTTCACTTGGTTGTGTGGGCTGTGTCAAAAATTTCATACATTAGCAATTGGGCGGTCTTTTCTGCACATGAGTTTTTGTGTCCCTTTCCATTTAGAAGACACTGTAACGTCTCCATTTTCTGCTCAGTACTTGCCCGAGATGAGCAATCCAAATGCACTGGAAAGAGATAATGCATTTCTTTTTCTCAAAATAGCCTCGCAACTTCTTACAGACTTCTTCCCAAGAAAAGTCAGCAGACTAAAAAGCACATTGTAAAATGTAGGCCCTGCATCTTCTGAATGCTTATATGAAACTGTTTCACTTTCCCTTTTAGGGAAACGTCCTCCAGAGTCTTCTGACTTCATTTCCCAAAACATGTTTGTGGAGCAGGAACTCCTGAGTCAACGAACAAAAGCTGAAAACTTCCGAGTACAAGGGAAGGAGCCAGGGGTGGATTCTGAAACACCCTCAATGGCTGACCAGTCTGCTGTAAAACAGGCAGGTGGATGCCACTTAAAAAGAGAGAGAGAACGACGCAATTTTAAATGCACCAGAGTAAACATCGCCTGTTACTGTTGGTAACATTTTGGTTTGAGCACAAGAGGAGATTTACATGTACTTTACAGAAGCAGGAAAACCAGTTGTCCCGATGTCAGTCTGGCTGTTTCTTCCACATATACTTCCACGTTTCATTTGACTTTGATATGCTTATTCTTATCTGTTATTATGGCCCTGGATATTGATTGCATATAGGAGAAGCACTACCTGCGGTGTTCCTACTGCAGGCTAACTGAGACAACCAGGAGAGGATTAGCATTTTTGCCTCTGTTCTCCATCAGCCAGAAATGGCTGGGTGAAACCACCAGCAACTCTACTAAGGTCAGGTCTGCGCTCTTCTTCATTGTGTATTAAAGACACTGAAGCTTGAAACAGTACTGAGTGACTGTCAGATCAACCTGACCCAGCGACAATGTTTTCCCAGGGATGAAGCACGCCCTGCTTCAGGCAACCTGCTCCAAAAGTATTCAAATGTACAACGATGGCTCTGTCAAGCGAGTGAGACATCACTGGGTAACATGCCAGTTCATTAATACAGGTTGGCAGAGAACTCCTGAATAATTATTTCTCTTGAACAATGAGATTAATTCCCCAAACCTCTAATCTATGCTTGGCAGAAATTATGCAGATTGGAATCTTGCAGTCTTACAATCACAGGAATTAATGTCTTTGTATCCGAGGTGGAAATCATATTGATTGGAGTCTTGTTATCTTACACACAAAAAATACACATCTTATACCACCTCTAATGAATGTAAAGGCAAGTTATACTTACATATTTCCATTTTCCAAACATAAGACCATCTGGTACTTCTAGACGACAAGGCATAGTAATAGTATCTCCATATACTGCATTTACTGTGTACAATCCCAGAGCTAGAAGAGAAACAGAAATAGAGGAAACAATTTTAAGTGTCTTCTTGAATTCCCATATGCCACCTTATGTTTGGCTCACAGCTATTATAAAAACAGAATCATATCCTTTGTAAATGATTATTTTCCAGCATGTAGGATTTATCCCAAAACCTCTAACAAAACAGGATTCCTGACACTAAATTTATTTACTTAAACATTATGATCTTTTCAGACCCATATTTCCTGCTGCAGTCAGTGGGAGCCAAGTAGATTTTCAAACAGGATTGCACTCGCTCAACTGGATGACCACATACACTACAATCAGTATGCACAGCTATTTTCTCAAACTTAAAACTTGAAAATGAAAATCCCTAAAACTTCTTTTTCTTCAACTGAAAAACTATCCATTTCTGCCTGGAGAGGCTATGTTGCAATGCAATACTGTGAGGAGGCCAGCAGACAAGCAATATTCTGACTGCTGCACTGCAATAAAAACTCAGAAAAGAGAGAGAGTGGTATTTAAGTGCTGGGTTCCCTTAAACCTGAGAAGCAAACTAGTCTACATACTTAGACTTTGGAAAAACGAAATTAAGCACTTCTATGAATTATTTAAGAAGAGCTTTTTTGGAAACCTCAGCACAATGTTGTTGTGCTAATGCATACAAATTGACAAAATAAAACTGACCCACTTATTTTCATTGTCCAAAATATGTGAATTGAATAAAAATAACAGATCCTAAAGTGACGAACTGTTAAAATACAAGGAAGTTTAAAGGGGAAATGTTACAACTTGGTGCATTTGCTATAATGCAACTTTGCTTTGCTGCTGTTTTCTGTAGTTACCCTGCTCTCAGTGATGCTCACTGCTCCTTACACCAGAGGGAGGGGTTGCCTCTGGTGCTTGCCCAGTGTCACTAAGAGAGTGCATTGGCTGCGGCCCACATGTCTGCAGCTTTTGTCAAGGTCTTCTGCCCAGAGACTCAAGACCTCCCCCTTTACTCTCCCTTCATTTGCAACTGGAGCTGTAAAATCAAGGGCTTGCTGCCAAAGAAACCTTATTTAAGAGAGAGCAGTAGGATGCTGGTAATGCAGCTGCGGCCGCAGAAACACTCAGTCCTTCTAGAGACATTAATTTTTCTGGAGAGTCAGCCCTTCTTGCTAGAGCTGGATAAAGGAATCCTGTTCCCACGTACCCCCAAAGACCTGAGCCACAGACCCTTTATCTTTTCCCAAGTCTCGAAGCAGCAGCTGGGATGACCTGACGATTCTAGTGAGTGCATATATGCACTCTATAGGGAGGTTTTCCCAAGGGACTTTTTGTTTCTTTAAACAAATTCATGTGTTTTCAAAGAGCCAAACACTGAATTCCTTGCCTACAATTTCAAATAGAAAGACGCCAGAGCATTTTCCTCAGGTGAGGACTCTGGAGATCACTGTTAACATCAGCTTGTATTTATCATTTGTATCACAGTGACACAGTGACTTGTGCTGTGTGGTACTGCACAAAGTAACAGCATTCCAAAATCCTTCCTCAGAGACACTTACAACCTAGATGGCATCACATGGCGAGGCAGAGGAGCAAGCAAGCAGGCTGGAGCTCAATGGACTAAAGGAATGCAGAAGATAACAGGCACCACCACCTGCATGCATTTTAAACTTTCTTTCCTTCATACCACTCCTTTTCAACTAAAAAACTGCTACTCTTCTTCTGATTCTGTAACATAATTAGTCACAAACATACTTTAGCTACATTCTTCACACTATAAGGACGGCATGCTCCAAGTTGCTACAGGGTTTAAAAGGCCAGCAGTTTTCTCAATGACAACGGCAGTCTGTCCACTAGATGGTGCTGAGCAAGTCCAATCTTTAAAAATGAAGTAGTTTTTTTTTTTTTAAGAAATCAGCTAACTTAAATTTTATGGAAATAGGACCAATGTTTTACAAGATCAAACTATAAATGGAAGTAAAATTCAAAGCTGGAACAAATTCTTCCCTTGGCCTTCTCTTGCACTTACCCTCATTCTGGTCTCCAGGAAGGGGACAACTTTGGCTTTGCAAGCTGAATCCTAATTTTCATTTCCACTAGAGCTAGGAAAAAACAGTTCTTTTTGGTTCCTCTCTCCCATAGGTTCAAAATTACAAGAGACTTACAACTATACATTCAATTAATAAGCTGATTAGTACCCACTGAAAGTTCCAGTCAAGTGTCATTTAGAAATCTGAAATTCTGTAATGGTATTTTGCATCACATGGAAAACCAGAAACTGCTCCTCCTGCTAGGAGATATTCCCTGTCATTAGGGGAAAACAAAATGACCCTGTGGGATCTGTAATGTTGTTCTCTCCGAGACAGCCGTTGAATCCCTGCAAGTTGCTAAGGTAACACGTATACGCTACCAAAGACTTGACAAACAGCCTCATGAGTGTGAATGAAACTGTTTCTGGAAAGGATTTACATTTACAGCATTCGGAGCAGGTAACTGATGAATGGCCCTAAAAACAGAAAGACTGGACTCTGATTTTAGAAGAACTCTTTTATCTGAAAGGCAGTCCTTAAGATGGACAAAACCACCCCAAAATGATGTCTTGACATAAATTCTCCCTAAAGCAAAATCATTCAGTTTTCTAGGAATTTGTTAACACAAAACCAGAAAGACAGAGGTTTTACTTTAAACGCAGAGAGATAGTTCTTACAGAAATACAAGAAGTCCTGCTGTAAAATTTTCTCCTCCAACTTCTGTAGTAACAAATCTAGGACCTTAAAGGAGCACAAACTAGTTGAATAACTGCAAACTTTGCAGGAACTGCAGTAAATGCCACAAAGCAACTATGCAAACCTATAAATTTAAGAGACAAACAAACAAAAAAAACCCTCCTCAACAAATATGGAAAATCCTCTCTCTGTTGGTATTAAATATATTTGTAAAATGGTGGGATAAAGAAGAAAATAGAAGAAAATGACTACTTAACTACATGACAGCACTTACCATCAATCATCACTGAGGGTCCTTTGTATAGTTTCCAGCTCATTCTAAGAAAAGTAAAATGAAAGCTGGATCTAGAAATAGATAACCAATTGCTCCATGCCCTAACACAACGCAGGGTCAATACCAAGGCTCTCGTATCTCATTAACTGTGGGAGGGCACAGAGGCAACTGTAGGGAATAACACTACAAGAAGTCACCAGACATCACACCCTGCCTTGCTGTGTTTCTGATGCCCTTTTCTGTAGCTAATTAAGAGCTCAGCTGGCTTCCCTGCATAATTTTCAGATGTTGCCTTCTAAAACTGTTAATAATAACACTAATTCTGAGGCAGGATCTCATATCATGTATAGCAGGAGCTCTGCTTGAACTAGCAATGAATTACACCTTTATGCCAGGTTAATCCAGCTTTCCTTCCGTGTCTTTATATGTAGATTTGTGTGGCTTGACGTGATTTTTAACTTATTTCCCCCTCTTTGATCCAGTGCTGAAGAAACTCTACTTTGAGCCAGATTAAACCTTTCCATGTATACTCAGACACAGGAAGATAGCAGCAGCATCAGGAGGTATTACGGCTCAGAGAAAGATCCCATCAGGACACTGCTAAATTGAGATGGCATTTGCTGCTGATGCTATTAATTACAATACTTTCCACATCCCCACAGCAGTGCTGACTGGCATCCTTCTTTGTCCTCCTCTCTATGTATCACAGGGAAGGAACTAAACAGTACCCACAAAACAGAAAAAAATCTGACTACTTGATCAGAGGCTTAAAGGAAGAGGAGGGGCTGTTGTTATATTAAATCCTTACCAAACACATATGATGCAGGTTCTAATTTACACTAATTATTATTTTCAAATCAATGGGGTCATATAAGATGAATTAGTAGAAGGTAAGTATCTAAAAATCAGGGAGCTGATGTTTCTCCAGGGAAATAACAAAAGCTACAGGAAGTATGTGGAAAGCAGCCATGTTTTCCACCTCTACCTTCCACTTGAAATAGTGAACATTTTTCTGGCTGCAAACACCTTTTTTAAGTACATAAGAGTAACATCTTTGTGGCAAATGTAAAACAAATCAAAAGCTGTTCAAACACCCTTTAGATGTAAGATCCAATGGAGACTATGTATCCGTATCTGAAAACTATGACTAGAGCTGGGGTACTGTCCAAAACTCATCTTCACCGGCCTGCTTGGCTGCCTCACAGCACAGCTTGGGTCCAGTTACTAAACCAATGGAAAACTGGGCAGCTGAACCCCTCTCCGTACCCTGGAGACTACTGATTTAAATGATGTTTTACATCTACAATGATGTCCTGTATTTTCCTTTTGCACCCAATTTCTACAGCTGATGCTTCTGCACCAGCGGGGTCAGCAGTGATGCTTCATATCACATTTTCAAGGAGCAAGGTCTCGTTACCGGAGAACAGCAGGATTCATTGGCTGCTATGGTTCTTTGCAGCAATGAGCAGCAGCGAGTAGGAGAGGTCAATTAGCAGCTTCTGGAATGGAAGTGTCCAATCCCAAGAGCTATTATGTCTATTTAGCACCTACTTCAAAAACTGCAGTTAACTACTTTGGAAACTCTGAGTTAGGATTAGCACTCCAAGTCTTTATTTGAGGTTTTGGCCCTCCCATTTTATCTCCAGGTAGCCCAGATTAGCTTGTACTTAATATGTTTTGGGAGGTTAAAAAGCTTTGCCTCATGAAATAAATATTTTATTAAGTTGTTTGCTGTCATCTCTGAAGTAACAACATGCGGATTTTTCTTTCTGCCTTACACTTCCTAAAGGGATTTCAGCTATAGACATACACACAGGTCCTCCTGACCATCCATTTAGGTACCAGCCTAAATAATTTCCTTTAAGAAACATCAGTATTTCACAAAAAACAATAATTACAGCTTCTTAACATCCGGAAGTCATCTTTTAGAATTGTAGAATTATAGAATCATTTAGGTTGGAAAAGACCCTGAGGATCATTGAGTCCAACTGTTAACCTAACGCTGCTGCCTCCACGACTAAACCATGTCCCTG